CTCATGTTGATATTTACTGCTGTGTTGCTAACAATTACCTGAAAGAGAAGTTGGGTGCTTCACTAGCCTAGAAAAAGTTTAGCTAAATCAGAATGCAGGTCTAATTAAGCAAATTTATTCTATATTTATAAAAGGCTAGGTTGACTTGCGCATGTGCGATACATATAAAGCTCATCCTGGCGCCAATCACGTGTGTTTTCATCTGTCATTGTCAATTGTGAATTTGGTTGACACTTCTATTATGGAGAAAGGGCGAATAGCGATATTCAAATACTAGAAGCCCAGTGCAAGAATTTGTGCACAGGTGAGGTCCCTTGGGGTGGCCTCCGGAGATTGGGCCCCAGCTCACACCCTGTCTCGCAGCCTCACCTTGGCCTGGCGCCGCCCACTCACCTTCTCCACCATTCGGTCTGCGGGATCATCAATCAGGGCTGGGCCCCCACCTGGCTCCCTCAGCGCCTAGGAGCTGGGTGGCGGCCCCGCCCCTGGTTGCTGTCTGCGGGGCACTCAGGCTCCTGCTCACACCTGCCTTCGCCTGGCACCACCCGCTCACCTGCTTCACCATCCTGCCGCAGTCCCGCTCTCGTTGGGACCAGCGGCGCCTCCACTGCCACCCCCTGGTGGTCAGTGCATGTCATAGTGAGTGGTCAAACTCCCGGCCGAACTAATGCCCAAAGGGACAATTTGTATATTAGGCTTTTATTATATAGGATTTCTTCTAATTAATTTAACGTGCACAAATTCGTGCACCGGGCCACTAGTCTTAATGATAAAATATATGCTTGGAAAACATGCTTATCCAGCAAATTTTATTTACCTACACATCTATCAATGGTGTGCTACAAAATTAATTAGAAATAGCTAAACCATTAGAATAAAAATCTTTTAGCTTTTAAATGAATTTTAAGTTTTAAATAGCACCACTGTTTATATGAAGTCAAATAATTGTATTAAATACAGAGGTACTTGGAATTTAATCTCATTAAAACTTTTTTTTAAAAAAAATTGGGAACAGGAAGGGAGAGGGTGAGATAGAAACATCCTATATAATGAGCTAATATGCTAATTAGACCAGACGGTGGAATGACCTTCCGGAACAACCAGTGGGCAAGGCCATGGGCCTGAGCCCCTTGCATGAATTTTGTGCATCGGGCCTTTAGTCAATAAGATAGAATCATTGATTAGCTGCCTCCTGCACTCTCCCCACCCACTGGAATCAAACCATATCCTCGTGATTCACATTTCGATGCTCAACCAATGAGCCATGCCAGCCAGGCCAAATCTCATTCTTATAATGGGAGATACTGAATTAAGTTTAGCCTAGTAAAAAAGTTCCCCAAATTTTACTCCAAAAACCTGATTTAAATAATGAAATCCTGGAAACATCAACCAGAAATGTTTTCAGGATTATTTAAGAAAAAATTTTCCTCTTGTGGGGTGAGGGTTTTGATAGCCCATTGAGTATTCTTTTGGAAACTATTAGATTATAGTAACATTAGAAATCCAGTGTGTTTAGTTTTGAGAAAACTTTCTGTGTAACAGGAAGCACCTGTTAAACAGGAGGCATTGAAACATTAATTTTGTATCACATGCATGCCTTTATTACTTTAGGTATAAACACTTTTTTACTCATTAAAATTTTTATTCTGACTTGTAATTTCTAGGTGATTATAAACTTTAGTGGACTAAGATAATGCATTCAGTTGATTTTATTTTGTGATCACAATCTGTTGCAAACTTTGTATTTTCAAGACAAAGCAGAATGAGTAAAATTTAACTATATGCAGTGCAACTTCACTTCTTAAGTTCACCTGCATTGCTATGATGAGCAGCAGACAGAAGAGAGCAAAGGGAAATTGAATAGGTAGGACCATGAATATATACATTCCTGTAAGGTAACAATAAGTGGACCTATATATTGAATAATCAATTTCTATTTAATTAGTGATAATCTTCTTACTAGGGTATATATCCTTGAAGGCAGGTATCACCTCTATTCAAAATTGTATCTTCTAACTCCCACCCCTATTCACACATTATAAATTTGTAGGCAACAGACTGAGCTCAACAGCTTTGATTAAAGTTAGAGCTATTTCTAGTTGTTTGTCATTTTTTGTTATATATTTACTCCCTAACAAGTCCTTGTTCCTCATAATTTTTTAGTAATTCTATTTGAATTCTAAAACATCTCAGTTCAAAAGGACAAGGCTTGACACCATGCCAGTCATCTCCAAGATAAAAAAGTCTTACCTAAGATTCTGAAGGTCCACTTTTCTTTGAATTCTACAAAATAACTGAGTTTGCCATTTAATAGCAGTCTCTCATCTGATACAACATTATTTAAGTACGAATCTACCCTGGCTAATAAAAGCAAATGAAATTCAGAATTGTTACTAATTCTGAAGTCATGACTATTTAAAGAGATTAAGACAGAAAATAAAATTGGAGAAAAGTTATTCTTTATTGAAAAATACCAATAATACTGACAGACTTCAAAAGCAGTTCAGGCTTCCAGAATACAAAGTACTCAATACATTTTTTTCAAAACTGTTTGCATTTCAAACAAACAGCATTTTTGTAAGTCAAGTTTGATAACCTGACTAAAAATATTTTCCAGCTTTATTATTTATGGAGTGCACATCTTTAAAGTGGGGTCAATGAGGTGGGCAGGAGCAGAATGCACCTGGGCTATGCAGCAGACGATAGCCACATGTCCCACAACTCCCGGGCTGGCAACAAAAACACTGCACAAGACAGCTGCCCTCCAGTGTCAGAGGATCTTGAGAAACAGCATACCAAGAGATAGCCAGCTTTTCTTAATTTATACATTTTCATTTACATTTAAATTGCTTTTTGAAGGAAATCTTTAAGAATGACAGTGTAATTAATGTCATCCAATAACTCTGAATTTTAAAAAACAACTATAATGAAAGAATTGAACTGTTACCATCAAAACAGTCTTTGCTGAGCTATGAGTAATAATTCTATGCTTTTTTAGATGCAACAAAATTAATACATATGCAAGTTTAATTTGAAACCACAAAAATTATGTATGTAGGCTCAGATAGTAGCAGTGTTCACTTTATTACTAA